CACATCACTGCCCACGCCGCACCTGTCCACCTGTCAGTCTGCCCACGCTGCACCTGTCCACCTGTCAGTCTGCCCACACTGCACCTGTCCACCTGTCAGTGTCACTCCAGATCAAGACTTCGACACTTGAACTCGTCCACTTGAGGCAGAGACTCTCCACCCGCCCGGAGACGACAAGACGACTTTTTCCAGAACCTGGACCTCGGACTTGGAGGATCTGATCTTCTGGAGCCTGTGCAGTGACTGAGGGTGAAGGACCAGAGTGGACATTTGGACACAACCATAAACACATCTGTAATATGACCTCTGACCCCGCCCCCTCTGACCCCTGATCCCTGACCCCCCCCGACCCCTGACCCCTGACCCCTGACCTGTCCCTGGAGCTTCTGCAGCAGTGTGAGGTCGGCTCCTTCTCCTTTGGCGTGCATCGTCGCACAAACGTCGTCCAACACACACATGACCCCAGGAGGACTCTGAGAACACACACACAATAAACACACACAATAAACACACACTCTATACACACACACACTATACACTATACACACGTGTGTGTGTATTGTGTATAGTGTGTGTGTGTATAGTGTGTGTGTGTGTATAGTGTGTGTGTATAGTGTGTGTGTATAGTGTGTATAGTTTGTGTGTGTGTATAGTGTGTATAGTGTGTGTGTGTGTGTGTGTATAGTGTGTGTGTGTGTGTGTGTATAGTGTGTGTGTATAGTGTGTGTGTGTATAGTGTGTGTGTGTGTGTGTGTATAATGTGTGTGTGTATAGTGTGTGTGTATAGTGTGTGTGTGTATAGTGTGTGTGTGTGTGTGTGTGTGTGTGTATAGTGTGTGTTTGTGTATAGTGTGTATAGTGTGTGTGTGTGTAGTGTGTGTGTGTATAGTGTGTGTGTGTGTGTATAGTGTGTGTGTGTGTGCTTGTGTGTGTGTGTGTATAGTGTGTGTATAGTGTGTGTGTGTAGTGTGTGTGTATAGTGTGTGTGTGTGTGTGTGTGTATAGTGTGTGTGTGTGTGTATAGTGTGTGTGTATAGTGTGTGTGTGTGTGTATGTGTGTGTGTGTGTGTATAGTGTGTATAGTGTGTGTGTGTGTGTGTGTGTTGTGTGTGTGGTGTATAGTTTGTGTGTGTGTATAGTGTGTATAGTTTGTGTGTGTGTATAGTGTGTATAGTGTGTGTGTGTGTATAGTGTGTGTGTGTGTGTGTGTGTATAGTGTGTGTGTGTATAGTGTGTGTGTGTATAGTGTGTGTGTGTGTGTATGTAGTGTGTGTGTGTATAGTGTGTGTGTGTGTGATAGTGTGTATAGTGTGTGTGTATAGTGTGTGTGTGTGTGTGTGTGTATAGTGTGTGTGTGTGTGTGTGTTTAGTGTGTGTGTGTGTATGTGTGTGTATAGTGTGTGTGTATAGTGTGTGTGTGTGTATAGTGTGTGTGTGTGTGTGTATGTGTGTGTGTGTGTGTGTGTGTATAGTGTGTATAGTGTGTGTGTATAGTGTGTGTGTATAGTGTGTATAGTGTGTGTGTGTATAGTGTGTATAGTGTGTATAGTGTGTATAGTGTGTGTGTATAGTGTGTGTGTGTGTGTATAGTGTGTGTGTAGTGTGTATAGTGTGTGTGTGTGTATAGTGTGTGTGTGTATAGTGTGTGTGTGTGTGTGTGTATAGTGTGTGTGTGTAGTGTGTATAGTGTGTGTGTGTGTATAGTGTGTATAGTGTGTGTGTATAGTGTGTATAGTGTGTGTGTATAGTGTGTATAGTGTGTATAGTGTGTGTGTATAGTGTGTGTGTGTGTGTATAGTGTGTGTATAGTGTGTGTGTGTATAGTGTGTGTATAGTGTGTGTGTATAGTGTGTGTATAGTGTGTATAGTGTGTATAGTGTGTGTATGTGTGTGTAGTGTGTGTGTATAGTGTGTGTGTATAGTGTGTATAGTGTGTATAGTGTGTGTGTGTGTATAGTGTGTATAGTGTGTGTGTACAGTGTGTATAGTGTGTATAGTGTGTGTGTACAGTGTGTATAGTGTGTGTATAGTGTGTACAGTATGTGTGTATAATGTGTGTATAGTGTGTATAGTGTGTGTGTATAGTGTGTATAGTGTGTGTGTATAGTGTGTATAGTGTGTGTATAGTGTGTGTGTGTATAGTGTGTGTGTGTATAGTGTGTGTATAGTGTGTATAGTGTGTGTGTATAGTGTGTATAGTGTGTGTATAGTGTGTATAGTGTGTGTATAGTGTGTGTGTGTGTATAGTGTGTGTGTATAGTGTGTGTATAGTGTGTATAGTGTGTGTATAGTGTGTGTGTGTGTATAGTGTGTATAGTGTGTGTATAGTGTGTGTATAGTGTGTGTGTGTGTGTATAGTGTGTGTGTGTGTGTATAGTGTGTGTATAGTGTGTGTATAGTGTGTGTATAGTGTGTGTGTGTGTATAGTGTGTGTATAGTGTGTATAGTGTGTGTATAGTGTGTGTGTATAGTGTGTATAGTGTGTGTGTGTGTGTATAGTGTGTATAGTGTGTGTGTATAGTGTGTATAGTGTGTGTGTATAGTGTGTGGTGTATATGTGTGTGTATAGTGTGTGTATAGTGTGTGTGTATAGTGTGTATAGTGTGTGTGTATAGTGTGTGTGTGTGTGTATAGTGTGTATAGTGTGTGTGTGTATAGTGTGTGTGTGTGTATAGTAGTGTGTATAGTGTGTGTGTATGTGTGTGTATAGTGTGTGTGTGTATAGTGTGTATAGTGTGTGTGTATAGTGTGTATAGTGTGTGTGTATAGTGTGTATAGTGTGTGTGTATAGTGTGTGTGTGTATAGTGTGTGTGTATAGTGTGTATAGTGTGTGTGTATAGTGTGTATAGTGTGTGTGTGTATAGTGTGTATAGTGTGTGTGTGTATAGTGTGTGTGTGTATAGTGTGTATAGTGTGTGTGTGTATAGTGTGTGTGTATAGTGTGTATAGTGTGTGTGTATAGTGTGTATAGTGTGTGTGTGTATAGTGTGTATAGTGTGTGTGTGTGTGTGTGTATAGTGTGTATAGTGTGTGTGTATAGTGTGTATAGTGTGTGTGTGATAGTGTGTGTATAGTGTGTGTGTATAGTGTGTGTATAGTGTGTATAGTGTGTGTATAGTGTGTGTGTATAGTGTGTGTGATAGTGTGTGTGTATAGTGTGTTGTATAGTGTGTGTGTATAGTGTGTGTAGTAGTGTGTATAGTGTGTGTGTATAGTGTGTGTAGTGTGTGTGTGTGTATAGTGTGTGTGTGTATAGTGTGTGTATAGTGTGTGTGTGTGTGTGTATAGTGTGTGTATATGTGTGTGTGTATAGTGTGTGTATAGTGTGTGTGTGTGTGTATAGTGTGTGTATGTATGTGTGTGTATAAGTGTGGTGTGTATAGTGTGTGTGTATAGTGTGTGTGTATGTGTGTGTATAGTGTGTGTGTGTATAGTGTGGTGTATAGTGTGTGTGTATAGTGTGTGTGTATAGTGTGTGTGTGTGTGTTATAGTGTGTGTATAGTGTGTATAGTGTGTGTGTGTATAGTGTGTATAGTGTGTGTGTATAGTGTGTAGTGTGTGTGTGTGTGTGTGTGTGTGTGTATAGTGTGTATAGTGTGTGTGTGTGTAGTGTGTGTAGTGTGTGTATAGTGTGTATAGTGTGTGTATAGTGTAGTGTGTGTGTATAGTGTGTGTGTGTATAGTGTATAGTGTGTGTGTGTGTATAGTGTGTGTGTGTATAGTGTGTGTGTGTGTGTATAGTGTGTGTGTGTATAGTGTGTGTGTGTATAGTGTGTGTGTATAGTGTGTGTGTGTGTATAGTGTGTGTATAGTGTGTGTGTGTGTGTATAGTGTGTGTATAGTGTGTATAGTGTGTGTGTGTATATAATGTGTGTATAGTGTGTATAGTGTGTGTGTGTATATGTGTGTGTGTGGTGTATAGTGTGTGTGTGTGTGTATAGTGTGTATAGTGTGTGTGTATAGTGTGTATGTGTGTATGTGATAGTGTGTATAGTGTGTATAGTAGTGTGTGTGTGTATAGTGTGTATAGTGTGTATAGTGTGTGTGATAGTGTGTGTGTGTGTGTATAGTGTGTATAGTGTGTAATAGTGTGTGTGTGTGTGTATAGTGTGTGTGTGTGTATAGTGTGTGTGTGTGTGTTATAGTGTGTATAGTGTGTGTGTATAGTGTGTGTGTGTATAGTGTGTATAGTGTGTGTGTATAGTGTGTGTGTATAGTGTGTATAGTGTGTGTGTGTATAGTGTGTATAGTGTGTATAGTGTGTGTGTATAGTGTGTATAGTGTGTGTATAGTGTGTATAGTGTGTGTGTGTGTGTATAGTGTGTGTGATAGTGTGTGTGTATAGTGTGTGTGTGTGTATAGTGTGTATAGTGTGTGTGTATAGTGTGTGTGTGTGTATAGTGTGTATAGTGTGTGTGTATAGTGTGTGTGTGTATAGTGTGTGTGTGTGTGTATAGTGTGTATAGTGTGTGTGTGTATAGTGTGTGTGTGTATAGTGTGTGTGTATAGTGTGTGTGATAGTGTGTGTGTATAGTGTGTGTGTATAGTGTGTGTGTGTGTGTGTGTATAGTGTGTGTATAGTGTGTGTATAGTGTGTGTATAGTGTGTATAGTGTGTATAGTGTGTGTGTATAGTGTGTGTGTGTGTATAGTGTGTGTGTGTGTAATAGTGTGTATAGTGTGTGTGTATTGTGTGTGTGTGTGTGTATAGTGTGTATAGTGTGTGTATAGTGTGTGTATAGTGTGTAGTGTGTGTATAGTGTGTGTGTGTGTGTGTGTGTGTATAGTTGTATAGTGTGTGATATAGTGTGTGTGTGTATAGTGTGTATAGTGTGTGTGTATAGTGTGTATAGTGTGTGTGTATAGTGTGTATAGTGTGTGTATAGTGTGTGTGTGTATAGTGTGTGTGTGTGTGTATATAGTGTGTGTGTATATAGTGTGTGTGTGTGTGTGTATAGTGTGTATAGTGTGTGTGTATAGTGTGTGTGTGTGTATAGTGTGTATAGTGTGTATAGTGTGTGTGTATAGTGTGTGTGTATAGTGTGTGTATAGTGTGTATAGTGTGTGTATGTGTGTGTGTGTGTATAGTGTGTGTGTGTGTGTGTGTGTGTATAGTGTGTGTATAGTGTGTGTGTGTATAGTGTGTGTATAGTGTGTGTGTGTGTGTTATAGTGTGTATAGTGTGTGTGTATAGTGTGTATAGTGTGTGTGTGTGTGTATAGTGTGTATAGTGTGTATAGTGTGTGTGTATAGTGTGTGTGTGTGTGTATAGTGTGTGTGTATAGTGTGTATAGTGTGTGTATGTATAGTGTGTATAGTGTGTGTGTATAGTGTGTATAGTGTGTGTGTATAGTGTGTATAGTGTGTGTATAGTGTGTGTGTGTAGTGTGTATAGTGTGTGTATAGTGTGTGTATAGTGTGTATAGTGTGTGTGTATAGTGTGTGTAGTGTGTGTAGTGTGTATAGTGTGTATAGTGTGTGTGTGTGTATAGTGTGTGTGTGTGTGTGTATGTGTGTGTGTGTTAGTGTGTGTGTATGTGTGTGTGTGTGTGTGTATAGTGTGTGTATAGTGTTAGTGTGTATAGTGTGTGTATAGTGTGTGTGTATAGTGTGTGTAGTGTGTGTATGTGTGTATAGTGTGTGTGTATAGTGTGTATAGTGTGTGTGTGTGTGTAGTGTGTGTGTATAGTGTGTGTATAGTGTGTGTAGTGTATAGTGTGTGTATAGTGTGGTGTGTGTATAGTGTGTGTATAGTGTGTGTATAGTGTGTATAGTGTGTATGTGTGTATAGTGTATAGTGGTGTGTGTATAGTGTGTGTGTGTATAGTGTGTGTATAGTGTGTGTATAGTGTGTATAGTGTGTGTGTATAGTGTGTATAGTGTGTGTGTGTGTGTATAGTGTGTGTGTGTGTATAGTGTGTGTATAGTGTGTATATATGTGTGTGTAGTGTGTGTGTAGTGTGTGTGTGTATAGTGTGTGTTGTATAGTGTGTGTGTAGTGTGTGTATAGTGTGTGTATAGTGTGTGTGTGTGTGTGTGTGTGTGTATAGTGTGTGTAGTGTGTGTATAGTGTGTGTGTGTATAGTGTGTGTATAGTGTGTGTGGTGTGTGTATAGTGTGTGTATAGTGTGTGTATAGTGTGTATAGTGTGTGTATAGTGTGTATAGTGTGTGTATAGTGTGTGTATAGTGTGTGTATAGTGTGTGTGTGTATAGTGTGTGTGTTCTGACCTTGGATTCGATGAGGTCACAAACTACTTTGTTGTTGAAATAATCTATCGGTGTCCACTGGATCCCCTCCTGCACATACTCCTCCTGTAACACAACACACAACACACACAACACAATAAACACACAACACACACACCACAATAAACACACAATAAACACACACAACACACAATAAACACACAATAAACACACACAACACACAATAAACACACAAAACACACACACACACAATAAACACACACAACACAATAAACACACAATAAACACACACACACAATAAACACACAACACACAACACACATAAACACACAACACAAACACACATAAACACACACAACACACATAAACAACACAATAAACACACACACAACACAACACACATAAACACACAACACAATAAACACAAACACACAATAACACACACAACACACAAAACACACAATAACACACACATAAACACACAACACAATAAACAACACAACACACATAAACACACAATAACACACAATAACACACAAACACAATAACACACACAACACACATAAACACACAAACACACAACACAATAAACACACACACAATAAACACACACAAACAAATAAACACACAACACACACATAAACACACAACACACACACAACACACAATAAACACACAACACACAATAAACACACAACACAATAAACACACAATACACACACACAACACAATAAACACACAACACACAATAAACACACACAACACAATAAACACACAACACACACAGTAAACACACAATAAACACACAACACACAATAAACACACAACACAATAAACACACAATACACACAACACACAACACACAATAAACACACAAACACACACAACACACAATAAACACACACAATAAACACACACAACACACAATAAACACACACAACAGACACAGCAGAGCCCAATCAACAACGAAAACATGAACTATGGCAAAAGTTTAGAGTTTAAACGTGAGAATAAATAGAGTTTAGAGTTTAAACGTGAGAATAAACAGAGTTTAGAGTTTAAACGTGAGAATAAACAGAGTTTAGAGTTTAATCCACAGAGTCTGGTGTTTCAGGAGCAGCTCTATTGTCTCTGGTGTAAATTAGAGTTTTTAAAAGTCCGTGTGTGAAGTTCGGTCTCGTTAAACAGAAGAACAACAGGAACATGACACAGCAGAAAAACGAGAAAAGAGGAAAATTGTACAAGACGACGAAGAGATGATAGAAGCTCAGAGTGTGTGTTGTGTGTTTT